GTCATCATTTACCCAGAATGCTTTGTGTGGAAATAAAATGGCTCCGTCTGTGTTGAAATATATTTTTAAAAATTTACAAAACTAAACATCCTACAGTATTTTTACAGTCTTTATTTTACAGTTAAATATACAGCATATGTTTATCAAATAAAGTCTAATGTTACAACTAATCAGGGATCGCTTTAAATAAACCCTGTATCAAAATAAAGCTAGGATTTGGGAGATTTCATTAGGAGTATCAGTAACAAAACAGCTGATTTTGTTTCAGATAGTGAGCATGAAACAGAAAAAAAATAACATTGTTTTCCCCTCGCCAGACATTTCTTTGTATCAAACAGTATTTAACCCTTTTCAAAAATAAAATGAATAAGATTAAAATATCTTAGTAAAATAAACGTAGTTACAGAGGTACTATAGAAATAACTCAACGTTTTGTGATTCTGCACAAAGGACCAAAACATTTTCACTGATTTGCTCTGATACATTTACAGATTTGTGCTGATGCCATTTTGTCTGAAGTGTACTTTCTGACTTGGCTGCTTGTGCTTTTAACCAGGTTTGTTGGATGTAAAAATGGTTTCATGAACTTTTAGCCAAGATTTTGAGGTTTTCGTTGATGCAAAACATGTCTATGTTAAAATGGCAGATCTTAAAGTCCAACACCCACCATAACAGTCCCAAGTGCCCTTAACAGGTAATCACTGTTGTAGGATATGATGGTTGTGTGTTTTTTCACATTTGGGCCAGGCAAATGTAAAAAAAAAAATAAAAAAGATAAAATATCACCCAGTCACAGAAAAACCTGAGCACATCACTGAAGAATGCTGAAGCCAGAAACATCATGGAAGTCGCTACAGGCAGGACATATTTATGACAGAGGACTACAGAGTGAGGACGATKTAAGTGGAGAAAGTTGCAGTTTTTTAGAGGATATATATGATTTATCTGCAAGTGATGAAGAACAAAGCAGAACTGATGGAGCTGCAGCTCCACCACAGACCATCCTGGACG